TATCAACCATGTACATAAGCACCTTTTCATTAGCATTTCCCACCGCTAGAGGGCAAAGGCGTGCAATCAATTCTCCATAACGACCTGCTTCTGTCCGTAACCCATCTCATTACAACTCGCGCAGACCACTCATATCCGACCCTCCAACCACCTACCACTTACCACTGACCACTTACGTTACCGACGCCATCGCTCAAGTGGAGAAAGCTGAGCCAAATTGACACTCGGCAACATGGCTTCTTTTCCCGCCCTTTTTTTCCGAGCCCTCTGGCGGGACTTTTTGCAACTAATCGTGGCGGCAACCGGTCGCTAGACTTATTTTTTGCATTTTTTAGGCAATTTACTGTTGTTTTCCTGATGAAAAGCATTTTTTCCACGAGTAATTCCTCGTGGAGGTGGTGGTGATGGAGGTGTTGGAGGTTCTGGTGGATTAGGTGTGTGGAGGGGAAGGTGGGGTAGAGGAGGTATTGGAGGTGGTGATGGAGGAGGAGGTGGTGGTGGAGGTGATGATGGAGGAGGAGGTGGTGTTGGAGGTGATGATGGAGAGGTGGTGTTTGGAGGTGATGATGAAGAGTGGTGGTGTTAGAGGTAGTAGAAGTGATGGAGGTGGTTGAAGTGGTGATGGAGGAGGAGGAGGAAATGGTGGTGAAGGAGCAGGTATTGGAGGTTGTGGTGGAGGAGGAGGAGGTGGCGGAGGTGGATGAGATGTTGGAGGTGGTGGTGGTGATGGAGAAGGAGGTGCTGGAGGTGATGGTGGAGTAAAATGAGGAGGTGGAGGAGTGAGGAAAAGTTAGCTTCGCGATTTCTCTTTTTGCAACTTGCGTTCGTCTTCTCAATTGCAGAATACTTCGTTTTCTCTTTTGGTCATTTTCGCCGTTTTCTATGTTGCACGATTAGACATCATTGACTTTATTGTTGATATAATTGTTGATATTATCATTGATATTGTTATTGTTATTATTATTTTATTATGTTCATTTTATTTTCAGTTATTTTATTGTTTTCATTTATTTCATTTATTTTATTTTTTGTTGTTTTTTATTGTATTTACACTTATTTCCTCAATTTCATTTTCAGTTATTTATTTTATTATGTTTTCACTAATTTCCTCTATTTTATTTTCTGTTGTTTTTTATTCTATTTCACTTATTTCCTCTATTTTATTTTCACTTATTTCCTCAGAAATTTACACAGTACATAAGTTTTGCTTTCGTTATATACATATTATATGATTTATAATATAGCATTTATTCTTGGTTGAATAAAAGCGAAAGACTTTAATAATAAATTCATCCGTTACACAAGTTATATAATTAATTCATAATTCAGATGCTTTTATCGGTATTATGCATTAGATTAAGAATAGGCCTAAATTGCTTCTAAGTGTATTAGTGTGATATTGTTAGTATAGGAAAATAATGTTTATATATATGCAGCAATTAATAAGATAGATGAACTAAAATAAAGAAGAAAATTTAAGTGTTGGGTATATATGGATATAATTACGTATGACTATAGTTATACAATTTGTATAGCATTTTTTGTTGTTGTTGTTGTTGTTAAAGATTATGATGATTATGCTGTTATGATGATGGTGATTTTTTTATGTATTGTTGTATTGAGTTTTCATTATAGATAAGGATAACTTTGTTGTTAATTATGGAGATAATGATATTAATCAGAGGGAAGCTGAAGATGGTAATGATGTAGTGATGATAATGGAAATCATGGAAATAACACTACTAGTAAAGATAAAAGTAAAATTAAAAGTAAAAATTGGCAACCGTGTAACTGTTTCATTGATCACAAGATAGAAAAAAATAACACTGAAAAAAATGTATCGTTATTGTAAAATATTTTTGCATTTCATACAGCCAGTCTAAAATACAGTCTGTAACCTCGTCCACTGTTTCGACTCAAAATTCCATTTTCGGTTCGAGGTAAAAAGGTCGGCGGGTTTATATATATATATATATATATATATATATATATATATATATGTGTGTGTGTGTGTGTGTGTGTGTGTGTGTGTGTGTGTGTGTGTGTGTTTGTATTTTTTCATTCTATTCGTTTAACGTTTTTTTCAAGTCTGGATTAGTATACCTATGCGTTAAAAAAGTAATTATTGTTATTGTTACTGCCATTATTATTATTAATGTTACTGTCATTATTATAATTATTGCTGCTGTCATTATTATTATCGTCACTGTTATTCTTGTCTTTCTTACTGTTGTTATTATTAGTCACTATTATATCCGTATCACTAATATGCCATTTATTATTTTATGATCATTATGTGATTCTCACACATAGGCTAAAAATTACACAATTCTTTATCAGAAAGAGCAGACGACCATAAAACAATAAATTCTTTTCTATTTACGAAGTTACTGACACGTCATACTTGCGTGAAAGTAGCAGTTAGGTCATTGTCATTATATATATATATTTTGTTCTATTTCCATTTCATTTTCTTACATTATTATTTTCAATGTAGATC